AATAAAATAGAATAGTCAGTGGTGGAAGCTAATCCCAAATCTCATGATGTATAAAAGAGCATGATGGTCAGGTGCAATCTAGGTTATGGGAGAAGAAGCGAGTAAGCAGAGGAACCAAATGAGGTCAGACCTGATAGAAGCAGATAGAGTTAGCTGGTCTTTCATATGGTGGTGCTTAAGGTGAAGATCCATGAACTCATTGGAAATACAGGGAGTACTTTGCTGGGTGTTGGGGACACTGCTGTGGACAAGATTAATACTTTTCTTGCAGCCTAACAGGAGTGTAGAGCTAAGTAAATAAACATTCAAACACACACACATTTCCAGCAAATGACTTGAAAGAGGAAGCGACCTACTATTGACGTGCCTGGTAGGAATCAAGAATCGTCTCCGGTTTCCGTTTTCTGAGCTCAGTGTGCCCTATTCTTGAATCTTCGTGAAATTGTCCATATGATTCCTTACCTGAACTCACTTGCAGGCAAGAGTCCAAGCAAAATGCTGAGTTTCTTCTTACATTTCTTAGCACAATCAGCAGTCAAATATTGGCTTTTTAGCAGTGCAGGTTGAATATTGTCAAATGCTCACTCCCTGGAATCTTGGGAATAGGTGGTTTACTGAGATGGAAAGGGAAGAATTTTTAATTACATCTCTTTGCTGCATCGACCTTAGCCCCAATGTAAGATTCGAAGGCCATAGGATCCTTTTCATTCCATACTTTTGACCTATTGCCAATCCTAATTCTTTAGTGGGCCTTGATCTACCTCGAATAAGCATTAGACAGATCAGGATTTTCACCGGGATGCACGCCATGTGCCCAAGGTGGGAGAAGTTGAGTTGAGATCAAACAAGAGGTCCTGAGTGGAAGATGGCCCAGTGGCAGCGGAAGCACCTGGGAGAGGAAGGGGAGGGAAGAGGGCCCAGGCACAGGTTGCAGTAGACACTGTTACTTCTGCCTACCTTGCTCCTCTTCCCCATTCTTCTAGAAACAATTTTTTTTTTAAATTCTTTTGGGAGTTGTCTTATTCTAGCTCATAAAGTGCTTCAAAGTTGCTTTCTGTCACTTGCTGCCAAAAAGAATTAGGAAGGCTCCTCTTGGTCCCGTCTCTGCCTCAGGACCCATGCACTTAAGCTTAGGAAGCCTAGAGCCCTGTAAGTGGAGAGTCCCCATGGGGTTAATAAGGGATTGGCTGCCTTGTGGACAGCATCCATCTCGACTCTTACACCCAAGGTGTGAATGTGAGGCCTGTGTAGGCAACATGTTGACATAAGAGATTAAGTTGCCCAGGGAAACTCTACTTAAGAGCCACCTTGATTGAAAGAACAAACTTAAAAAATACTAATAATAGTAATTATGAGTCATTTCCCTCACTAAGTTTTATCTTTTCACGAAGATGACTTGAAAGCAAGAATCTCCCCTGTGTGTGTACACACTATGGGTCACGGCTTATGGCATTTCCTTGTTTGCTGTCTTTATTGCTCTCAAAAGAACAGAGCACTTGCATTTTTCCTTGCTTATGTCACAAACCCCTTATCAGTAGTTTCCTTTATTTGATTCTCTATCTATTCTTAAAGACGTCAGGGAACATCAAAACCAGCTTGTAACTCTGCTCACCACTAAGTGTCCACTCTTGCTGGTGCCCTTCAGCCCGGCCCTGGTTTCCAGGTGTCTTTCCTTCTCTGACCTCACAGAGCATTTTTCCTAAGAACAGGCTGTGAAGAGTGAGGCCTCCAGAAAGTCAGAAAAACACTCTGACATGCTGTCTGGCAGAATCTCTCAGGGACTGTGTGGAGTACAAAGTCCAACCTGCCTTCCAGCTGGAGTGAAAGAGCCCAGTGGTCAGGGATGGCCACTTGCTGCGTCCTGGACAGCCCTGCTGTGACCAGTAAAGGCTCCCTTCTGTAAAAAGGGTGGTGCAGCAGGGAAATGCTTGTCTGGAATCCCGGGTAACTCACAGCCAGAGTCCCTCACCCGCTACTGGGTTGAGCCGGAAGTCCAAGAGGGAGTCTTTTCCAACTCGGGCCAGGGCCACACAAGGCCTGCAAAGCCAATGCAATGCTCCTCAAAGAGCATAGAGCAGCCATTGTCATGGAAAATTAGCCTGGGCAAAGTCCCAGCAAACATACCCTTGGATGCCATCCTGCTCTCCCTGCACAAGGGCAGGTGACAGATAAAGACTGCTCCAGCCCCTGCTTCTGGTCAGCAGCATGTTCCCAGTTCTTCCTCTGCCACTCTTCAGGTCCCTCCTGTGCCCGATTCACTGATCATTACGTTTCTCCCAGTGGATGCCCAGGAGACAAAGTCTCCCTGTGGCCACGGGGACAGGAAGAATCCAAAGAATGAATCCAGTAGCTGCATATTTGCCAATGCTCCATTGAAACTGCACCGCGGTTTAGCAAACGGACTTGGCTCCCCTTCCAGGCTGGACTCTCTCTGTCCAATGTGCGCTTTGCCTAAGATCACCCTTCCGCCTGATAACACAGAACAAGGGCACCGTCTGGATGCCCCCCTGAGGCCTTTCATTTGAAGCCAAGACCACTGACATGCTGCATAACACCTTCCCCAAACAGGGCTTCAGCCTTCACTCGTGCCTGTGGAGAGCTCGGAGCTTGCCAATAGTGGACACTCCTGGTGGAGCCAGGCAGGGGGCTGAAGCACACTCAGGTCATGCCCTGGCAGTGAAAAAGCAGAGTGCTAAATGGAAAGTCCATTCTCTCCCCCACCAACTTCTCCAAGAGCCGGCCCCACAGGCCAGAGCAAGGATCAATTTGAACACTGTCATTTCTTGGCAGCTCAGCCTCAATTTTCCAGGACACAAAGGCATAAGGAGTTTCATCACCTTGACCATTTTTATGGCCTGTGGGGAGGAAGAAAGGACATGTCATCTACTGCACAAGCTATGGAACAAATCACACTGAAATGCTCATGATAAGACCAGAGTCAAAGTGACTGATTCTGAGATGGGCCAGAAATATTGTCTTCCTCAAAATAAGAAACGAAGACAGAGCTTCCAGATGTGGGTCTAAAGTGAGTCTTGCACAGGTTTGAAGAACACAGTGTTGCCCAACTACCATCCAACATTCAAGAAAAGCGTCACCTAAGAGATTGATATGTTGGATCTCCACGCCTGTGATCCCAGCAGCTCAGGAGGCTAGAGAATCATAAGTTCAAACCCAGCCTCAGCAACGGCAAGGCACTAAGCAACTCAGTGAGACCCTGTCTCTAAATAAATACAAAAAATAGGTCTGGGGATGTGGCTCAGTGGCCAAGCATCCCTGAGTTCACACCCTGGTACCTAGCCCCCCAACCCAGCCAAAAAAAGAAAGAAATTGATCTGTTGGAAGGAAATGAATCAAAATAAACATATGGGTTGTGCTAGAATGATGGGTATTTCTTCTCTTTATTTTCCAACTTCCTGTATACCATAAATGGTTTATAACATATTTTTTAGTTTTTTAAAAAGCACTCCCCACTTTTTTTTAAACCAAATGCCCAGTTCAAAAATTGAGCCCTCATTATCAATTGCTTTATTTTCTTCCCCTTAAGCACCTCGATTCCTGAGTCTTCTAGTTCCTGTTTCTACTTTCCCTGGCTTTGCGCAGGCACTTGGTGCGTTGAACGCTCTTTGGTCACTGACATCCTCCCTAACCGGCTTCTAGTTGTTGGTCTCACTAATCGTCCAGTTTATCCTCCACCAGGAGCCGGAGTAAGTTTTCTAAAATAGAAAGCTCGTCACGTCACATTCCTGCTTAACCTCTTCAATAGCTCTTTGCTGCCTCCAGGACACAACATAAATTCCTTTCCATAACACACACACACACACACACACACACACACATACACGGCTCTTCAGAATTCACGCTGGCTCCCATTTGCCCCTCACCTCTCCCTCTTACAACTCCGTGACCCCTTCTTTCCCCCCAGGGCCCCCTCTTTTAGCAAGATTCAACTTCTTGCAGTCAACCCTGTAGCTTCCTCCACCACCAGCCTTCAGCCTTGTGAGTCTCTTCACCTGAAATCCCTCCTCCCCACAAGCCTCCAAAAACTGCCTCCCAGGCCTCCGTGAAGCTCAAGAATCCTACCCACCCCTACCCAAGGAAAAAACCAGTGGCCCCATGCTTTCCTTGTGGTGGGTCATGGTTTTGGAGTTGGACATCCACACATTTATCTGTCTTGCTAGATTGTGGGCTCCAGGAAGAGCACCTGTATCCTTAGCATCTGGTTTTTATAGTGCCCAGCATAAGAAGAAGCTTGGTGAATATTTGTCGACTTAATACAAAAGTGAGGGCAAATTAAGGAATTAAAATGTGACTTTCTGCCATACTTTTAGTTGTATTTGAAACAGTATTGTTTAAAGCGCTCAAGAAAAAAACATGATATCAAAAGCCTATTGGTTCCTGGATTCTTGATGCTAGAACTGCCTCCTCCTGTGCTCCATTCTAGATTCCAGATCCTAGATTTTCATTCTGTCTTATTGCTTATTACCACCACCCTCAGCCTCAGACAAGTGTCTGTAAGAAAATTTAAAGAAGTACCTAGCGAAATTTTGTGGCATCAGACTATAGATATGCTTAGGACTTAGATGGCAAAAAATTATGGATGACAGAATGGGTGTGGCCAGTGGGTATTTCCTGCACTAGATTACAGGGAGAGTCATTTCCTGAAAAGTCTTCTCCTTACAGAACTTTCCAGTACAGTGACAGCAGCCTGCCTCGCTCCCCTCTTTGGGCATCACACCTCATTAACTACCTGACAGAAGGTGAAGTGAACAGATAGAGAAACCTAAGCCAAAGTGGTAGAAACCATTGCCCAGTGCAGACCAACTGGAAATGAAGATAAGACATTCCTGAAACCCTACTGTAAGTCCACAGGAGACAGAAGTTAGCTAATGCACAGCCCAAGAGTCCAGAGTCTGGGTTCTATCCTGTGAAGCCATGAGCTGTGCTGTGACCCCGGGCCAGTCGCCTAACATTTTAAAACCTGTTTCCTCATTTTACAATGAGAAAGAGATTGAAGTAGGTGTCCTGGGAGTCTTGGAAATTTCTTCAGAACCTTCAAAATCTATGCCCGATTCCGAGATAAGAAGCCGGCCATGGAGACAGAATTGGGTTCTGTCCTAGCAGGGCTGAATGTAACTTGAATAGCCTTGAATGTCCTTAGCCAGATTTCTTAAGCTCTTTGAACTTCAGTATCCTAATCTGAAAAATGGGGCTTCTGTCATGGAACTTCCAGAGCCCTTAGAGGAACAGAGAGGAGCAAATGTAAGTAAAAGGTCGCTTCGACTGTTGCTGAATTTTGAGTTCACATAATGTATAACAGTGAGGAGCCCAGACACGCCTGTTTTCAAATCTCGGCTGTGTTGTGTGACCACGGGCAAACTATTTCCTTTCTCTGAACCTCTGTTTCATCCTGTGACAAATGGAGACATTAGTCCTCAAAGGGTTGTTGAGAGGATTACATGAAATAAAAATGACAAACACATTTAAGGAAAGTGCTCAGGATCCGGCTGACAATGTTTTTGCCCATTTTTCTATTTAATCTGAGTCCTCCCCATCAGGCGACCTCCCCTGCTCAGACTCCTTCTCCGAGGTCAGAAGGCCCTTCCTTCCCATCCAAAGGGAAGAGGAAAGAGAGAAGCAAAGTCCCCGTGATAGGGAAAGGACCCAAGGTGACCTTGGAGGAACAGAGAAAGCCGGCCTGGAACTCATCTGCCTGGAGCCCACGGGTTCACCCCGCCTCACCTCCCTTGGTTTCCGAAGCTTAAAATAGCCTGAACCGGTGTGGCTGCATTTCACCGCCACTGGAGAGAACCCCTAGGGTGTTTTCAAAGCCAGCTCCCAGCTCCTCAGTAGCCAGGCTCTGTTCTAGTCCTTCGCACAGCCTCAGGCTCCACCTTGTCTGCTGCAAAAATGTGCTCTGAGCCTTCTCTGCCAAGGCCATTCTCCAACAGCTCTGCTGCTCAGGGGCTCAGACCAATCACCACTTCCCAGGCTGGCAAACAGGCATTGTGTGACCCGCCCAGAGGTGGGTGGGAGGGCTGCTGGCCTCAGGGAAGGGACCTCGGGTTGTAAGCAAAGGCCAGGGTCCAGGTGATGAGTGAAGGCCTGGAGTGGGAGTCACATGGCTGGAGTTCTAGACCCACCTCCGCCTCCGGCTGCTATGTGGCCTGGATAAGTCACCTCCCCTCTCTGACCCTTCAAGTGGTGTCATCATCGAGAAGTGTCTGTAGGCCTCTCCTTGGTTCCTTCTCACTGTGCGCTGGCCTCACCCTCGGTCCTTAGAGGTTGTTAAATGGCTTTCCGCATCAACCAACTGGCTTCTCATTTTCACACCCTGCACGAAACAGAGAGCTTCCCGCTTCCCATGGACCAAACTGAAGTCCTGCTCTGACTCTCGTCACTTGAGTTGGGCTATGTGCTTGTCAGGGACATGGTGAGCTGGCCCACACAGCCCCTTCTGACCCCCTGCACAGCCAAGGCTGGAAAACTGAAATCCCAGGTAGGGTTGTGCGAGCAGGTTGGGTCCTACCCATCAGATGCTCTGGCATGAGGTTTGGAAGGCAGCCGTGGGGGGAGACCCTTTTCTCATTGCTTTGGTCATGGCTCCTGGCCAAGGATAGTTCTTTCAGTGACCTTCGCGTGCATCAGGAAGCTTTGGAACCCTGGATGGCAGCAACTAGGTATGTTCTTGAACATAGGAGTCCCCACGGGGGCCTCCTCACTCTCCACCTGCTTCCTGCATCCTGGCTGGGAAATAAGCATCTTTCCTGGAAACCAGAGCGTGCTCCTTCGGCCCTTCCTGGGATTTCATGAGCACCTGTTGTTCTGCATTGAATACCTTTTGCTTAGAAGCTGCAGGAATGGTTTCTGCTCCTGTACCTGGCCAAGGTACCATCCCTGGGCCAGTCACTGGGCCAGAGGGAGAGAGGACTGTTTTGATTGCCTGGACCCTGCATCCATGCACCCACCCATGGGGTCTGGGCTAGCCATCTCTGCCAAAAGATACAGAGTAAGAAGGAGAAGAAGGATTTCTTAAAATTACTATGACTTTGGTTTTCCCAAATTACTTTAATCATTAAGTTACAATGATGAGGGCTGGGAATGTGGCTCAGGCGGTAGCGCACTCGTCTGGCATGCGTGCGGCCCGGGTTCGATTCCCAGCACCACATACCAACAAAGATGTTGTGCCCGCGGAGAACTAAAAAAAAAATATTAAAATTCTCTCTCTCTCTCCTCCCCCTCTCTCACTCTCCCTTTAAAAAAAAAAAAAAAATTCCTATCAATTTTTTTTTTTTTTTTTTTTTAAAGTTACAATGATGAAGGGGAGAATAGAAACTGGGCGACAC